TGTTTTCCTGTTGTGCTGGGTGCTGAGAGATAAATGATGTGATCTTATCTTTGGGGAACTCATAGGCTCAGCAGGGAAGGCAAATATGTAAAGAAATACTTACACTATTGTTGGGGCACCTGGCTGGCTCAGTTGGTAGAGTGTGTGACTCTTGATCTCAGGGCTGTGAGTTCAAGCTCCATGTTGGACATAGAGATTACTTAAAAATAAAATATTAAAAGAAAAGAAGAAATACAGTAAAACCTTGGTGGCCAGCATAGTTCATTCCAGAAGCATGCTTGTAATGCAAAGACCTGGTATATCAAAACAAATTTCCCCAAAAGATGTAATGAAAACTCAGATGATTTGTTCTACAACCCAAAATTATTCATATAAAAATGATTACAATACTGTAATATAATACAAAATAATAAACTACAAAATATAAAGAAAAATAAACAAATTAACCTGAATTTATCTTCGAGAACCTTCGTGGCTGGTGTGAGGGAGACAAGAGAGAGGAGGGTTATTGAATAGAATGACTTTCACTAACAGATGTTGACTACAGTACAGTATTTAAAGCTCGTATCATAGACTGTATTTAATGTAACTGGCAATAAGGCAGCAGAGGAAAGGGTCTATATCTGCAAGCAGCCTGACCTGGAATGAAGCAAAGCATTCCTAAGCTCCCTCTTGTTTAAAAAAAGCAATGGAAAAAAAAATAAATAAAAAAAAATAAAAAAAGCAATGGACTACCCATACGTGCTTTGAAGTGACAAAAAAAAAAAAAATACACTAGTGCCAGTTGTGGGCACCTTCCAAAGTTCTGAAAAATTACTGGTTTCTGCCAAACATTGCAGCCTGAGACCAAGCATCTGAGTATGAGAGATGATCACCCACAATCCCACAGTGAGAGAGAGAGAGAGAGAGAGAAGAACCATCAGCTCCGTTGTGATCATGTGACATTCGACCATCACGTACTACTCGTATTGCAAGACATCGCTCGTTTATCAAGTTAAAATTTATTAGAAATGTTTGCTCGTCTTAAGGAACACTCGCAGAACAAGTAACTCGAAGTCCAAGGTTTTATTCTACTTGTGGTGCCCTGTACTAAGCTCTCTTGGAGAGCTATGTACCAGGCAGCCTAGACGGGACATCAGAGAACGTGTCCCAGAGATATGATATCTGGGCTTGGTCTTCCCTTCCCCACAGAGAAAAATAAGAAGGATTTCACCCAGCACAAAAGTATTGGTCGCTGTGTGCCAACCACTAAAGCAAACAGTCCCCAAATCTCAGTGGTTTCACATAAGAAAAGTTCTTTCTTTCTCATGCCATGTCCAGTGTGTTCTGCGTGGCTCTTCCCAGAATGGCGACCCAGGGAGTCAGGCTCTTTGAAGCTCCAGCAGGTGGCTTCCAGCGTGGCTGCATAAGGAGCAGAGAGTGTGGGGAAGGCAGGCCACACCTTCAGCCACCTCCCACGGAAGGGACACTCATTGTTTTCCCTCCACTCCATTGGGCCAAAGTGGTCCATGTGCATCTGGAGATGCAGGTGAGTGGGGAACGTCATCCCGGCTCTGGGAGACCATGAGTCTCTGGAAGGATGTCAGGTGCTTCTGCCACAGGGGATCACACGTGAGGGAGCCTAGAACCAGTCAAAGGCACGCAGATGCCGAGCCTACGGGGCGTGGGGAGGAAGGCAGAAGGGAATTACAGAGAAAGAGACCGGCAAAGTCAGTCACTGCTGGATTGCTGAGGCCCAAGGACAGCACATCAAGGAGACAGGGCCTTTCCTCCTAGCTGTGTGGGGCCACTGGCAGTGTCTGCTCGAGGTGTGAAATGACCAGATTTTCATCTTTCATCTTTTCACAGTGCACCCTTTTTCTTCATCTCTTACTACACAGAAAGAAGGTCACGATGGTGCAGAGGGTTGCACCACTCCAACCCAACTCTGCTGCTCACTGGCTATGTTACCTTGGGCTGGAAGCAGTCTCTCCAAGCCTCGGTTTCCTTGCCAGTAAAATGATGAACTCCCCTTCCTGGGGAGGTGTGACAATCAGAGAGTCTCAGGAGAACATCCTTGGGAAACTGTAAATGGCGTCAGAGATACAAGGGGAATTTATTGCCTCTGTCTGAAGTGGGGGGATATTTTTTCCCTAGGGCAGGAAAGTAAAGCTCAATGTCTGCCAAGGTCCTCACACATCCCCAGGTCTGTGATGGCCTACGAGAGCTAGAATAAAAAATGGGATCAATATAATCTTCTGTAGGGACAAGGAGATAGGATGGGAGGTAGCTTCAAGGCGTCCTGAGGTGCCGTGTGGGAAAGTGTATGACAGACTCATCTGTGTTAGTGTCCTCTCTCCTCTCAGATTTGGAAACCCCAGCTGGAAAGGGTAGTGTATTTCCATTACAGCCTGAATATTTGCTCTGATCTTCGGCTTTTCACCAGAGGATGTATTCTCAGCCCTCCAGAGCTTTGTTTCCAACATTGCACGGCTTACATAGATGAGACACAATGTTCCTTCCTCTCCCTACCCTCTCCTATCAGCCCCAGACTGAAAATTCCCTTATTTTTACCTATATACACGAGTGGAAAGCAGATGGCATTATCTGGATAATGCTAAGAAAAGATCAGATTCTTTTCCAAGGCCTATGCACTGTGTTGAAATAACCAAACGATTAAGGTTATCTTGGCCTGAAAATAGGTATAGAAATAAGGTATTTGGGAAATTGCCTTCGTTTGTCATTTTTCATCTCTTCTCTAGAGATGGTCTGGGTCTGCGAAAGCTTACCAAGTGGACTAATTCCGGCAAAGCCTGAACCGCATGCATCAGGCTCCCTCCCATCTGTGACCTTTTCCCCTTTCTCCCCATTACCTTTCTCCTCTCTCTCCTCGTGGCAAACATTTCTTTGGTTTTTAATCTGCACAGTCAAGAGAGCTGAAAAATGCTGTTCGAAGATGTGCTTCACAGCTCCCTAATAAAAGAGACACAGAACACCATTCACACGTTTCTGGGCACCTGTCACCAGAGCAAACAGGTGCAATTCTCATTGGGTCTTACTTTTGCATCCATAGCTTGGACTGGGCATGGAATCTGAAGTTTTATTTTATTTATTTTTTAATGTTTTATTTATTTCTGAGGGAGAGAGAGAGACAGCGTGAGCAGGGGAGGGTCAGAGAGAGAGATACAGAATCTGAAACAGGCTCCAGGCTCTGAGCCGTCAGCACAGAGCCCAACGCGGGGCTCAAACCCATGAACTGTGAGATCATGACCTGAGCCGAAGTTGGACACTTAACTGACTGAGCCACCCAGGTGCCCCTGAAGTTTTATATTTTTATTGAATAAGGCTCCAGAAAGGGTCTTCTGGATCTGGTATATCTTTTTTTTTATGGGGGGAGGAGGGGGGTGCTGTGGATTGTACTCCCCACTTTAATAGCCTGCACTCTCTAAACAGTGCCCACAGGTGTTTTTGCAAAGCAACAGGGCCATGTGAAGGTGATGCCTTTCCTAGGGAGGAAGAGGGGAAGGGAATGTTGGTATTTTCTAAAAGTATAGACAGCCTGACAGCAAATTCCAGAGACTGGGTGACATTTTAAATTGGTAATGCTCCTAATTACCCAAACCCTAGGAAACCATATGGAATACAGCCACAGTTCTCAAATTAATAGACGTGAGCACTGTGAAGCCGTCACTGGCAGCACGCTCTCTTAGAGTAATGGCACGGTATCTGTGTCAGCACAGCGTGACACTACGATTCAGATGCACACAGACATGTGCACACACGCCCCCTCTTGATATTTCCTATTTTTTTGGAAAAATTTTGCTGCTCTCAAAGTTAAAAAAAAAAATCTTTTTTAAGTGTCCTACAAGAAGTAATACTTTGTTTCCTTGTCAAACATTGCCTATTGGTGTTGCTGGGTGAAGATGTCAGACTTCTAAAGATGGATTTCAGTAAGCGGGGATGCTTTCACGAACGTGCACGTGGAAGGCAGAAACGCCCAGATGCGTGTCTTAACTCCCCAGTCTGCTGCTTGGTGACCTTGGGCTGGCTGGTCCATGTCCGAATCTCAATGTGGTCTTCTCCAAAGTAGGCCTACTAATGCTATTTACTCAAATGTTTCTTATATGGATTTAGAGCCAATCAAAACGTCTGGCTCAAAGTCAGTGCTGAAAGATGCCAAGAGTCAGAGTCACTGATGTGGCAGGAACACAGTCACCTGAAATCTCAGTGATCAGATGGAAATTTGGGCCTTGGCCTCAGTCATGGTTGGGGACGGTGCCCAGTACCTCTTCCTTCTCAGCAGGTCGGTCCAAGAATTGGGCCCCTGTGCTAGTAAAGGGGACTTTCTTGGGAAGTCCAAGGTCTGAACACAGAGAATAGACGAAGTTTCTGAGACTCCCATCTCCCCCTGTCTTAATACCCTCCTACCTCCATTCGTAAACCTCCCAACCTTGGTGGAGGGGCCCACAAGTAAAGCAAGCACATACTTCACTTTTGGATTTTTGAAGACTTAATCTTCAGTTCTTTCTGAATACATACGCATATGACTATATAATACATTTATATATAAAAATTTTACATATGTAAAATAAAACACAAAATGTATAAAAACATAAAATTATCGGTGACAGTTTTCATTTTGTTCGTGCTAACAGATTTGATGGGCGAGCTCATTCGTGACACTTTACTTTCTTGGCCCTAGACATCCTAAAAGTGATTCATGTGACAGAGACACCATAATAATAATAGCAGTGATTTGAAAAATACCAGTTACCTGCCATGTGCTATGTAGACACTTCCTGTTACTTAATCCCTACAACAAACCTTAAAAAGTGGGTATTATTACCCTATTAAACATCTGAGAAAAAGGAGTCTCACAGAAGTCCCTAACTTGACCAAGGTAAGACCACTTGTAAATAGCAAAGCTGGGGTTCAAGTCTCATGGTCACGCTCAAAGCTGGCATGGAGCCAACATCCCTGTGCATGTTCTCAACCCTTCACTGTCTTGCTTTTTCTTCCAGGTTGTTCTAGACGTTGGTTGTGGATCAGGAATACTGTCCTTTTTTGCCGTGCAGGCTGGCGCTAGGAGAGTGTACGCCGTCGAAGCCAGTTCAGTTGCACAATATGCTGAGGTAAGTGGTTGTATTTTTACAGGATCTCCTAACTGAGTCTCTATGAAACTTCAGGGGACTGAGTGATAGACTCTCCCAGGGGGTCATTTAGGAGCTATTTTTGGTTTGTTTTACTAGTCTAATTATTTTTTCCTGTTGGAATTTTACTGCTAAGAGAAGCTAGACTTCACTGTAGTAATTGATAGGAAAACAGGTTTTGAAAAATGTCATGATCCTGGGGCACCTGGGTAGCTCAGTCAGTTGAGCATCCAGCTTCGGCTCTGGTCGTAATCTCGCGGTTGACGAGTTCAAGCCCTGAGTCGGGCTCTGTGCTGACAGCTCAGAGCCTGGAGCCTGCTTGAGATTCTGTGTCTCCCTCACTCTCTGACCCTCCCCTGCTCATACTCTGTCTCTCTGTCTCTCTCTTTTTCAAAAATATATAAACATTAAAAAGAAATTCATGATACTGAAAATAGAACAAAACTTTCTTCTTCCCCATCCACTGGGGGACAGGTGGACCAGGGGAGGGATGAATGCTTTTTTTTTTTATCTTTAATGACCTACCAAGGTAAGGAGTCAGACTTCCTGGAGCTGGATTTATCTTATTCTTAAGTGCTGTACTGACAAGCTGTACCACTCACCTTAATTTTTTTAAGGTTTTTTTTTTAAACATTCTAGATCCCTAATTTTTTTTAATGTTTATTTATTTTGGGGAGAGAGACAGACAGACAAACAGGTATGAGTAGGGGAGGGGCAGAAAGAGAGGAGAGAGAATCCCAAGCAGACTCATAAATGTCAGCACAGAGCCCGACACGGGGCTCGAACCCACAAACTACAAGATCATGACTCCAGCCAAAGTCAGACACTTAACTGACTGAGCTACCCAGGTAGCCCTGTACCAGTCACTTTAAATTTTAGTTTACGTTTCAGGGGCTGTTGCTACGTGGTTGTATTCAGAGCATAGACAGATGTCTTTGTTTTAAGGAGCTTTTTCAGATTTTAGGCATAGACTGGAGGATAGAGAGATGCTTCCTTTTAACTGTGGTTGTCTGTTATCATTATTAAATGTGTGCAAATACTAGAGAATAAGTCAAAGGCAAAAGTCAGGCTATAATGGCTTTAGGTAATACTTGATTGGATATCATAATAACCCGACCAAGCTGCAGAGATTGGATATGTGTGTGCGCGCGTGTGAACAGGCTACTGTGCTTGTCATTCCCACCTGGAGGAGGCTTGAATTTTAATGAGGAGTGGGATAACAGAGAGGGAAGCTCCGTCGTTCCTCCTCAGGAACATCATGAAATGTTCCCCCGGCCGGGGCCAACTGGTCACTCAGAGTGGCGGTCGGTTTCGGATCTAGTGAACAAAGAAGAATCACAGAGAGACAAACCAGTATGGCGTGTTCGGAGGGAAAGACTGCAAGGGCCTCATGGCTGGCCTGGTATTTTACTCTGTTTTCCCTTCCAACGAGTCTTGGATAAACTATTTTTGGTCTTTGGCTTTTTCACCAATTCATAAAAGTTGTTTTTATTGAATATTGGATGTACGCCAAGGAATATTTGTAAACTGGGTGAGTATAAAGGATAATGATACAATGAACATGTGCCATCTACTTCTTTTAAGAACTAGGCCATTAGCGTTTCTATTCAAGGTCCATATGTCTCCTCTTGATTGCTTCTCCTTTCCTCTCTAAACAGAGGTAACCACAGTCTTGAATTTTTGTTTCTCATTCCCTTGTTCTATATAGTTTTACCTTATATGTTTCTATCCCTAAAAACGAATGCTTGGGGCACCTGGGTGGTTCAGTCAGTTAAGCATCTGACTTTGGCTCAGGTCATGATCTGAGGTTTGTGAGTTCAAGCCTCACGTCGGACTCTGTGCTGACAGCTCAGACCCTGGAACCTGCTTCAGACTCTGTGTCTCCCCCTCTCTCTGCCCCTCCCATGCTCATGCTCTGTCTCTCTCTGTCTCTCAATAATAAATAAACGTTAAAAAAAAAAAAACCTTCATAAACTTATCATAAATTGAATCCTAGTGTATATATTCTTCTATAATTTGTTTTTTTCATCCAATATCATGTTCCTGATGATCATTTTGTGGATGTAGAACTTGTTTCTTTATCTTCAGTGCTGGATGTGCTCTGTTGTATGAGATGTCTCAAGTGGCTAGTTTCCTGTTCTGTTGGCCAACTTTGGATGGCCACCAGTATACAAGTGTGGTTAGGAATATTCTGGAACAACACCACCTCCACTGCATTTTTGATGGAGCTTCTTGGTATATTCCCTGTAGTAGAATCATTGGGTCGTAGGACATGCATACCTTCAACTCTGCTCTGTAAGGACCAGTTGTTTTCCACAGTGGCTCTCCCAGCTTTCACTGCCTCCCACAGTAAACAAGAAGGCCACTGTTCAACTTTGTCAGCACTTGCTCCTGTCAGGCTTTGGAATGTTTGCCCATCTGGTATTTATGACATGGTATTTGCACTTTAATTTGCAATTTCCACTTCCTAATGACTTTGAGCATCTTGGCAGAGCATTTTGGCCATTTGTGCTTTCTCTTCTATGCAATACCTGTTCAAGGTTTTTGGGGGTTTTTTTTGACAATTTTTATTTTGAATTCTTTTTCTAATTCTCATTGATTTGTAGGCATGGGTACTCTGGGTATTAATCCTATTCTGTTATATGTATGAAAAATATCTTTTTCTGGTTGGTACCTCACCTTTTTCTTTATTTTTTTTTAAATGTTTTATTTATTTCTAGGAGAGAGAGAGAGAAAGCGTGAGCAGGGGAGGGTCAGAGAGAGAGAAAGCGTGAGCAGGGGAGGGTCAGAGAGAGAGGGAGTCACAGACTGAAACAGGCTCCAGGCTCTGAGCTGGCAGTCAGCACAGAGCCCGACGCGGGGCTCGAACCCACCACCTGTGAGATCATGACCCAAGCGAAAGTCGGACGCTTAACCGACTAAGCCACCCAGGCGCCCCTCACCTTTTTCTTTATGATCCTACTAAACTTTATGGAATTCTAAATAAAGGAGAAGAGAATAGAAGCTTATGAAGAGAGAATCTATAAAGATGCCTCTGCTTAGATTTTCATACATCTTAAAGTGAATTCCTAAGGATACGGAAGTGAGCATAGAACTTTATCTCAGGTGCTGCTCAATCATTTAATCACATAGTCATTCAGTGATGTCCCACAGTTGTGTTTTTTGGGAATATAGGAGTAGCAGTACTGATTAAGATCAGTCTTCAGAGAGATACTATTTTTTTTTTAATATTTATTTATTTGGGGGAGAGCACAAGCGGGGGAGGGGCAGAGACAGAGGGACAGAGGATCCTAAGCAGACTTTGACAGCAGAGAGCCTGATGGGGGCTCAAACTCACGAATCACAAGATGGTGACCTGAGCCGATATACTGACTAAGCCACCCAGCCGTCCCCAGAGAGGTTCTTTTCTGATATGAGAATGATCCAAGTGTCTCTCATTTCAGACACCACCCCTCAAAAAAAGTAGCATAAATAATTTAGTGATTTTCTTTTTCTCATACAGTTTGTTTCCATGTATATTTACTATATTTATTAAGTTTTGTGTTTTTTTTATTATTTTTGAGAGAGAGTGTGCATGATCAGGGGAGGGGGAGAAAGAGAGGGAGAGAAAGAATCCCAAATAGATTCCACAGTGTCAGTCTGGAACCTGAAGCAGGGCTTGAACTCTTAAACCACAAGACCATGACCTGAGCTGAGATCAAGAGTCTAACGCTTAATGGTGCCCCTAACATATATTTTAACATGATTTGAGACATATTAGTGATTTTTAAAATCTTGAAAACATAATACTGTTGACTGTAGTATTAGAAGAGAAGAATTCATCTAGAGTTACACTTGCATTCCCTATCTGTAATCCCATCTCCAATCCCAGCATAAACTCTGAGTAGGCACTAGCACACCATAGGAGGGGCCATTCTAGAATCATCTCTGTGATTGGTTTCTCCAAGAGAATCCTCATCCTGATAACACATATCCCCAGAACTGTTGCCTTCTCACAGAGTGCCACCTCCCAAGCACTGTCAGCCAGAATGTACAATTAAAAGGATATCTAGCAAGACGTAATCCACAGGAAAAGAGAAAGAATCAAAACTTTTTAAACGATTTAATACTTTTGGCACTGTTTAACACTTGGAACAACTTCAAACTTGCGGGTAAGTTGTAAAAATAAAAATAGTTCAAATGCTGCCCAAATTCTTTGTACCTACATTCAACCATTGTTCACGTTTTCTTCCACTTGCTCTATCAGGTAGTCTGGTTTCTGAATCGTCCCTCCCACAAGTATGTATACACATGTATGTAAATGTTTCCATCTATGTAGATAGAGATAAAGGTGGACACACACACATACACACACACACACACACACACACACGCTTTTTACTGTGGGTCAGTGCTACATATTACGGCCCTTCATCGTCAAACATTTCAGTGTGTATTTCCTAAAACTGAGGCTACTCTCTCAAATAACCAAAGAAGAACTTAATTTAAGGATGAAAAAACAGCTGTACCATGACTTGTCCATTGAGTCTTTCGATGTCACTGATCCAAAGGTTTTGGCGAAGCCCCGGCATGAGCAGAGAGACAGGCACCTCGGTGTTGGGGCAAAAAGAGCCTATACCGAACTGCGTTTTTGCTTGCCTATTCTTTCCAAAGAGACTTGACTTTTAAAGCTTGAATTCCCAAAACCATAGTTTTATTTTATCTTTGGTTTTTGCTTCTGTAGACGATTTTTGTGTTTCTATAATCTTTGTTTTCTGTGTATAGTTAGGGCAGGTTGGGGGCGGGGGGAGCTTTTCAGATGCTGGCGAGGCTATACAGAGTCCTTGAACTCCTTGCCGGCAGGTCTGTTTGGCCCTGGAGATGTACCCTCCGTGTAGCCCCAAGGACAGGCTAGTTCTAATGCATTCAGGGCCTAAAGTGATTAGAACCTTCTCAAAGGATGGATTTAATGCCAGCCTGGTCCTTCGTGATGAAGTTTATAA